CCCGGAGCCCGGGAGAGGCCATTTTTGCCCTTCCAGAGGCTCGAGGCGAAAAACGGGCCTCCCGGAAGTTCGGGAAGGCCGGAAATGGGCGCCACACCCACCCAGCAACCAGGCAGAGAACCCTTTGTTAAAAGTTTTGAACCCTGGCTATAAGGTCTTAAAAATTTCTCCCTGAAGAGCTACCGATTCCACCAAACATAGAATCCTTTGGATTACCCAAGCTGTTTTAAGGACCATATCCAGGTTTCTGGGAAGTAGCTCCGGATGGTTGTTTCCACAGCATTTGCGATTGCGTCCTCCATTTTGAATTCTGCAACTTCTGTTGATGCCAGACGTCCCACGTGGACGCCTCCTGCCATTGGATCTGCCAAGAGAAAAAGCGTGCATTTTGTATTTTAGCATCTCCAAGCTGTCCTTCAAGATGAATTCTCCAAAGCAACACCCATCACCCTCACGAACATTTAAAAGATAATCATTACCATGTCTCTGAGAGCCACAAGCACTCAGGAGTGTTAAACGAAGAGAAGGAAGTGCAGGAAAGAAAGTGTGAGGGACACTTTCTCCAACAAAAGTCAAGAGGGTAGCTGCAGCTAAGCAACCAACCAAGACAAACAGTCTTTGATTGGTGGTTATATCTCATCAATTTGATTCTTATTCTTATCATCCATATCCTCACCCTTATCCTCATTTTTACATTAGCCAGAAGATCACAACGCTATTGCAGAGTTGTACTTTGGCTTGCCAATTTACCACCTCTGTTATAGGACACACTTGCACACTTCCCAAGATGTGCCACAAGAAGGTGAGCTCATTTCATACCCCCCCCCCAAAAAAAACCCATGAGTGGCTCTTCCTACAGCATCACCCAAGGTCTCCCCTCACTTCCTCGGAGCTGCCTTGCAAACGGGTGCTGCAACTGGGTAGGTTCAGAGCCAGCAGGAATCTGACTGCCCACACGGAGCACCAACCCGTCTGTCCACCAAAATGCTACCTAATTATCTGCTCGCATAGAAACATGCTTTCGAATTGTGAGGTGGACAGAAGCTGAGGCGGAGTGACGGGAGCTCACACCATCACACAGTGCTAGGACTCAAACCCCTGGAGCACAGACCGTCTCCAGAGTTGTTAAGCCGCTGAGTCATCGTGCTTTGTTGATTCTTACTCAGTACCAAGTTCAGCGGGCCAGGGACCGGTTCCATGGAGAAAGGTTTTCCTGACAGACCGGAGGAGGCATTTTTTCGCCTGCTGCCTGCATCTTGTGGGTTGCGTGGCCTGGTTGCTGGCATGCCACAAACTGGTGCCGATCCATGGGCTGGGCACCCCTGACATAGATATTCTGCATAATTGGTCCCTAACTGGGTCCTCCATCTTTACTAACAGCCCCTCCATCAACCCCTGTAAGAGAGTCCATTTCCCTTGCTACTTGTTGTCCGGTTCTTCTCGTTCCTTCCACCATCTTTTCTGTCACGGGAGTCTTCTCAAGAAAGCCAGGTTTTTACATAATATGATAGTTTGAGCCTGAACCTTCGTGCCCAAGTGAGAACTTGGGAGTTGCTGTGTTCAATGACTCCTTGGTTTGTCTTTTTAGCTGTCCACTCTGCCCCCAGGAGCCTCATCCAACACCAGAGTCCAAAGGTGTCAAGAATTTTCCTTTCCTGCCTCATCTTACGGACATAAAGAAGAGACGGGGCTTTAATGGGGCAGTTGTAGCCACCATCTTGACTTTTTTGACCTTCAAATGCAATCGATAAATAAGTAGAGGAGCTTCCCCCTTCCACCCTTATCAGTTCACTTCAGATTCTTACAGTAATCCCGGGTGTGGCAAATATTGGGCTTGTATATCTGGGTGCTTGTAAACGGTTTGAAGCCAATGTCCTGTAAAATGAGCAGAAATTCACTATGAAATATTACAGAAAGTGTGGAAAAGAAACACACCCACACACCCCATTTCTCTCTTTTTCTCCCCCTCAATCCATCAATCTGTCCATCTATTATCCATCTATAATCCACCTAGTGTGCTGTCTTAAACTGGTTAGAAAATAAAGATGGATGTGACAATGCACCCTTTTTATTTTGAGGATGTGTCAAAAACACAACAACACTCCCCTTTTTCATGACCTTATAACTCCTTTATTCGGGGTAGAATTGGGGCCACTGGATGGAGCTGAGCATTGACTGGCCGGATACCCTTCCTGACACCATGCTTAAATTCACATCAGATATTTTTTTCTTTGCGCCCTGGGAGAGAAGTATCTGCCACTACCTAGGTTTGAACTCTCAACCTTCCAAGTGAGAGGCAAGCATCTTTATCAGTAGGCCCTCATGGCAGCTCAACCTACAATATGTTATGAAAAGTATGACACCAAGACTTGGGACTCAGCTTACCAAAATGAAAATCTAGCATGAGGTTGATCTCCAACATCAGAGGGGAAAAAAATACGACAGATACAAAGGAAATCTGCCAATGTTTTCTACGGAAACAGATTTGCAAAATCCACCCAAAGAACTGAAGCTTAATTTTACCAGAGTTGGGTCACTAATAAAGGAAAATTAAGTCCTGAATGTTAATTGGCTCCAGTTTCCAAGATACAGCTTCAGGTTGAAATTGCATCAAAATAATTCAAAATTATGAGAGGGTGGTGTATGATTATACTCCATAAATTTTCTGCAAAATGTGATACAGCAGTGAGAATGGTACCACACCAATCATTATAAATTTATCTTTCTATTGATACCATTAGACACAAGGACAGGTTTCCCCCCATGCCATCACTCTGCTAAACAACTCCCACAACACTGTCAAACTACTGTATTTACTAAGATTGTATCACTATTCTTCTTCTCATCTTTCCTATTAGTTATCTCCTTTTCTACTTATGACTGTAACTTCTTCGCTTGTATCTTTACGATTTATATTGCTTTACATAGTTTCCTAGAACAATTTATGTTGATTCTATTTCTATCACTAAGTGTTGTATCTTATGATTTATGAATAATGTATTTTATGATTACTATGATCATGATTTATCACTTATAGTTTTTATGTACAATGAGAGCTTATGCACCGAAGACAAATTCCTTGTGTGTCCAATCATACTTGGCCAATAAAGAATTCTATCCTTGTCCTGTCCTGTCCTGTCCTGTCCTGTCCTGTCCTGTCCTATCCTATCCTATCCTATCCTATCCTATCCTATCAACATAACTTTCCATTCATTTATTGGTTTTTCATGCTTTTTGCATGAAAAACTGGCAAGGAGAGAAGCAACTTAGAACTAAGGAGAAATTTCCTGACAGAACAATTGATCAGTGGGACAACTTTTCTCCAGAAGTTGTGAATGCTCCAACACTGGAGGTTTTTTAAAAGATGTTGGATAACCATTTGTCTGAAATGGTGTAGGGTTTCCTGCCTAGGCAGGGGGTTGGACTAGAAGACCTCCAAGGTCCCTTCCAACTCTTTTTATTCTATTCCTATGCTATGCTCTGCTATCCTATTTTCTATTCTTATTTTCTGTTCTATTCTATTCTATTCTATTCTATTCTATTCTATTCTATTCTATTCTACAAAGCTCTAACATCAAATTAAACGACAAAGTTCCATCTTAATTCGGTATCTAAACGGAACCTTTTGGCTTTTCTCTCGTGAACTGCAGTTGGGATCATCCCTGAGGAGATTCCGGCAGTAATCGGCAAGCATGGACGGACTCCATTTCCCTTGGTATCTTTTCTCCACGCTTGCGATGTCCTGGTGGAATCTCCCCTCATGCTCATCGCTCACTGCCGCCACAGTTCAACCACATGCCGCCTCAGAGAGGAGGGGTGGGAATTACCTCAGAATGTTCGATCGGTGTATTTTTTTTTCCCCTTAAAAATAACCCCTTATTTTCACTCGTTTTCACCTTTGGTTGATTAAGTGCAATTTAAAGAAGATTAAAAAAAAACACCGCCTCGTTGCTCTCGGGATGGAACGGTTCAGCCTAAAACGATTGACTTCTCTAACGAGTGAAATTCTGGCAAGCGTTTTTTTTGGGGGGGGGGGGGGGGGGGGGGCTTGCCTTGAGAATTGTATAGGCATCGCCTTCCTCGTAAGAATAGGTGTCGGTCTGGTAGCGAATTCCATCCACAATGATCTTTTTGGGAGGCACGCAGGGGTTTGCGTCTGGGTCTTCCAAGTTCTCACCGCTGTAGTAGTAGCCCCTGATGTCTGTCAAAGGCAGCAGATCGTAAACCTGAAAAGAATGGAGACCCCCAGTTCAGTGCAGGTAGCCCTCGACTTGCGACCCACTTCCCCCTGGACTTTGAAGGTCTCAAGTGGGGATTGCACAACTGGGGGACGCTGTGATGCTGTAAACTGAAGCCAGTTGCCAAGCACCCAAATTGGAATCACGAGATCCTTCCTTCCTTCCTTTCTTCCTTCCCTCCCCTCCCTCTCTCTCCCATTCCTTCCTTCTTTTCCCACCTTCTTTTCCTTCCTTCCTTCCTTCCTTCCCAAAGCTCATTGAAACTAATTATTTCCTTTCTTCCTCCCTCCCTCCTCCCTTCCTTCCCTCCCTTCATCTCCCCTTCCTTCCTTCTTTCTCTACCTTCTTTTCCTTCCTTCCTTCCTATCCCTCCTTCTCTACTTCCTCCCTCTTCTCTTCCTTCCTTCTTTCCTTCTCAAAACTCATTGCTGAAACTAATTCCTTCCTTCCTACCTTCCCCTTCTCCCACCCCTCTCTCTCCCCTTCCTTCCTTCTTTTTCTTCCTTCTTTTCCTTCCTTCCTTTCCAAAACTCATTGCTGAAACTAATTCCTTCCTCCCTCCCTCCCTCCGTCTTTCCTTCCTTCCCTCCTTCCTTCCTCCCTTCCCTTTCTCCCCTC